CCCCAAAACCCCAAAACCCCAAAACCCCAAAACCCCTTTAATTTTCTGAGTGATTGAAAGTGTCCAAGAGTGCTATTTCACTATTCTGACAGCCTTGTTTCTCTGATTAGTATTTTTAGCAGGAGTAGAGACTTATGCTACTAATTCAAAGCGACTCTTTCTAAGACAGTTAGATAGTAAAAATCAAGTGGCTGCTTTAATAAAGAATAGTCAGACTTCTCTTGACAATATTAGCTGGGAGATCAATTTGTTTAGTCAGGAAAAGATTAAGACACAATATAGACTCTTTGAAAAGAGAGAAGTATAAAATTAAGAGAGAAAATGAGAGGTAGATTTTGCTTAAATTTATAGATATTTGGCACTCTGGTTAAAACAATACACAGCTTTTAGCAGACCTCAATATTCTAGCCTTTGAATATACCTTCTGACAGTCAATTCTGTCATGATTAAAGGATAAAATAATAAGGTTAGAACTCTGATAACTTTGTTAAAGTTTTTACTCGAATCTAAGATAAGGCTTTCCAGGTAGGGCTCTTACTTATGAGGTCAAAGAAGATAGCTCATTACGAGCGATATCTACCAACTCTTGGGAATATGGTATTACTGCTTCTTTTTAGGACCATTCTGTTACTTTGATCGATGTTATAGCTTCCTAAGATAAAGGTAAGGTATCTTACCTGGCCCTATTTCTGTAGATCTGGAGAGGGTATTCTCTCTTCCAGCCTTAGGCTTTGACCATGGAACAATACTTTTAGAGCTCTTCCTTGTGTAAGAAATATCAGTGTTGTATGACCCTGGCCCCACTGAGTTTTCTTCTTTCTCAATAACTTTCACAACTCTTCCTTTAGTGATGATAATTTGTAAATCTTGGCTAATCTTGGTCTATATTGAACATTGGCTCAGGCGTTTCTGTGTATAGAATTGTTTTAGGCCTAAAGCTAAGTAAGCTTACAGTCGGAATCTCTCTTTGGGAGACTGGAAGTGATACAACTCCTGAACCAGAATTAATCCTCTCATCATCTTGCTTATTTGAATCTTGGCTCTCTTAACCTATGAGATAAGGAATGCTTCAAACCATTTCCCTGAGTCTATATTATAAATAGCCATCTTTCTTTTGGCTATTTTTCTTTTAATCTTTTTCTGAAATGATGATTTATTGGTTTCATATTCTCCAGGACCTGGGGTGTCAGAATAAGCAAGGAAAGACCTTGAAAGATCCTTTTTTGATCGAGTTTGAGTAGAGAAAATACCACCAGGAGGAGCCTGGTATCTATTTCTCAATTCTGCATCTATAATGAAACATTTTGGTAAGGTTTTAAACTCTGAAGCTTACTTGTAAATGACTCAAATCTTTTTCTTATCCCACACTGGAGTTTCTGGCCAAGGCCAGAAACTCCAGTGTGGTTAGAATAAGGCAGGACCATTGAGGAATCTAAAGTATCCTTCATGTAATGGCCTGGCCCTGGTGTCTCAGTTGTCAAGTTGAGCATCCTTTTAGCATTACTTAAGAATGCTGACGGGTTGTGTTTCTGCCTACATATCAGATGATGGCCTACCCATCAGCATGATTTGACTTCAAATGTGGTTTTAGACGTATTTTCTTTTGCAAAATAGGTGATCTTGGGAGTGACATTTTATATTTTATTAATAAATTGGGGTTTTGGGGTTTTGGGGTTTTGGGG